CCCGGTGTGGTCTTCTGCTGCTGTAGCCCATCAAGATTGGAAGTTTTGTGCGTTAAGAGATGCTCTTCTGCATACCTCGGTTGTAACAAGTGGTTATTTGAGTTAATGTTGCCTTTCTGTCAGTTTGAACAAGTCTGGCCATTCTCCTCTGACCTCTGACATCAACAAGGCATTTGCCCTACAAAACTGCCGTTTACTGGATATTTTTTTTTTTTTCTTTTTTAGACCACTGCGTGAAAATCCCAGTAAATCAGCAGTTTCTGAAATACTCAGACCAGCCCGTCTGGCACCAACAACCATGTCACATTCAAAGTCACTTTAATTACCTTTCTTCCCCATTCTGATACTCTGTTTGATCTGCAGCAGATTGTCTTGACCATGTCTACTTGCCTAAATGCATTAAGTTGCTGCCATGTGATTGGCTGATTAGACATTTGCATTAACGAGCAGTTGGACAGATGTACATAATAAAGTGGCCGGTGAGTGTATCTTCTAAATGTGAATTTCGACATTTTTCCTAGACCACACATTCATAATAAAAGCCAAACAACTTCCGTTTTGATTTTATGAGGACTTTATAAGATATGAATCCTATCAAGGCCTGTTTCAGCAATATTTATTAAAGAGCACAGTGATCGTGCAGTTGCGCGCATACCTTAAAACTTTTTAATCACTTTGAATAGGCCTTTTTGAAAGTGACGTCCCTTCAGAAAAACTTAACTTATTCCACCTCATCCTCACAGCTGCTTTAATCGGGTCAGTGGAGGGTGGGGTGTTATGAGAACTCATTAATGGCTGTTTCTTCATTAATTAACAAGTGCATAATTGAAGAGGCTCTCAGGACTTCTCAGGTTCCTTGTTGGTTATCAGTGGCATGCACACATACACCCTACAGTTTTACTCCACAAACAAGACCCCATAAATGCTTTCCCTTTGCTTAAGTTCAGAGAGAGTCTTTTTTTAAAGCCGTCAGAAAATTTGGAAGTACCCTCTCCTCCCTCTCTCTCTCTTAGTGTTATTATAAAGTAGGCATTGAATTAAATTCCTTCCTAGTTTTTGCTTAATTGAAATGGCTTTGCTAGAGGATTTTTGAAAGTCACGATGAAACTTCCACTGAATTTCCATGACACTTATTGACATCTGTTTGTAATGCAAATTTGTTTTATAGATTTTTTATAGATCTTTGGGTGCAGTTGCTTTTTCCCCTTTTGTCTTTTCTTTGTTGTCTTCAGTACTCAATTCTGAGGTCACCTGTAGGCTAATAGCATTCAGAAATCTGCATCTGAGTAACATTTTGTGCCTGTTTGTTTCTTTCCATTTTGAGGTATATATTTTAAAACCTGATGCTGGAATCTGTAATCTGTAAATGTAATTTTTTTGAAGGTGTTTTTCTTTGGCTGTTGTGTCCATGGATCATAGGGTATTTGTTGTCAGCAGTAAATTCTTACTCTTATGCTTTTAAGTGTTTTAGTATGGGCACAATCCAATGAAAGATATTACACTGTCTACATCAGGTTTGACCATGTGAGGCCATTTACACTTGACATGTTAAAGCAAATATTGCAAATCTATTTGCTTTGTTACTAGAAGTGGTGCAATGATCCTATACCTCCGGGTTTCTTTCCAACGAGCCTCGCTTTCATGTTTTAAAATGGTGGTCGCATGAAATATTCGTAATGTTATTATCAGTATTTGCATATTTATATTTGTTTACAAAAAAAAAAAAAAACATGTTTAGATTTGTCCATAGATTTTACATGGCATAAGAATAGGACGTGTGTTTGGATATAATAGGAAGAATAGCATGTGTGTTTTTTTACCATGCATGTGTGTTATTATTGTTTATTTATTCATTTGCTGGAAATTAGAACTGAATTTAGAAATTTTGAAACAAATCTTTCCACCTAACAAACAAAATTAAATATATTAGATGTCTTCAGTGGAGTGAGGTTCCACCATTTCCTTATCCACGAATGTAAAGAAGTAAAGTAAAGAGTAAAAGTAAAGACAGTAAAGAGTAAAGCATTGTCCTAATGCCTTTGCACCATTCACTTTAGACTTTGCGCTTATATCATTAAAAAAGAGTTCCAAATCTTAACATAGAATTTATATTAAACAGGTAAAACTAAAATCATAAAAAATAAAACAATAAATTCCTTTCTATAACAAAACACACATTAATTTAAGAACTTGAGGAAGAACAAGAGAGGAATTATTTGCTGTTTTTTTTTTTTCTAAAAAAACTGTTTACATTAATGCACACAGAAAAGGCATTCTATTAGAAAACCTGCTTTCTTATTACTTCAGCTTATTTTATCTATAAACTATTCCCTCGATACTTGCAAAAATTTTGCTGAGCCACTCTCTTTCTACTGAAAAAAAGTTAAATGTGATTTTCTGTCATTTTCTTACACTTTTTCCACTTTTGCTGTCTAAACTATCAGCAGATGTGCTATATGGATATGTGGTCTTTCATTTTGTCAGTGAAAGTAAGCGTGTGTCAGCGTGTGTTTGCACTCTCCCTCCCGTGACCAATAGGAATTTAAAGCCTGTCATTCAAAGTAAATAGCAAGCAAGGGGCAAGAAAACCACCTGATTCCCCCTTCACACAAACATATGCGCACACACATTTCCCCGTTGGCTGAGACGCTCCACTTGGTTTCACTGCAGTAAATAACATGAAGCCACAAAATTGAGACATAAATTACACATGCATAAATGCTCACATTTTGAAGCTTCCCTAAGGAAAGATTTCCTGGTATGTTTTTAACACACAAACTTGGTGAATTCCCCCACAGCTGATGAAATATTTTGAAATATTTTTCTTCAATCCTCAGAAACGTCTGTGGGGGTTAAATGTGCTTCCCTGTGTATGTGCGTGTGTGTATGTGTGCAATACTCCTGCCAAAAATGCTGCACCAACAGCAAAATAACATACATCAAGCCATACTCTCTCTCTCTCTCTCTCTCTCTCTCTCTCTCTCTCTCTCTCTCTCTCTCTCTCTCTCTCTCTCCCACTCTTCTGTCTTTTTAAATGACCTTGCTAAAACACATTGCCCCTGGGGAAGGCTGTAAATTAATGGAGATTTTTCCACTCATAGTTATAAACTGAACCAATTTGAGTGTCAGCAGAAGCTCAAGTGTTAATCTGCTTTAAACATTTCTAAAGATATTTGATTAGGATAAAAAAGAAAGATGTATAAGAGAATTTGCATGTTCTCCCCGCTTTCGCATGGTTTCCTCCAGGTGATCTGGTTTCCCCCACAGTCCAAAGACATGCAGTACAGGTGAATTGGGTAGGCTAAATTGTCTATAGTGTATGGATGTTTCCCAGAGTTGCAGCTGGAAGGGCATCCGCTGCGTAAAACATGTGCTGGACATGAAATATTTCTGTTTAATGGAGGGATTATTTTTTTCTCATTTCTAATAACTGATTTATTTTATCTTTGCCATGATGAGAGTAAATAATATTTGACTAGATATTTTTCAAGACACTTCTACACAGCTTTAAGTGACATTTAAAGGCTTTACTAGGTTAGTTAGGTTAAATAGGCAGGTTAGGGTAATTAGGCAAGTTATTGTATGGTTTGTTCTGTAGACTATCGAAAAAATGTATAGCTTAAAGAGGCTAATAATTTTGGCTAATAATAAGAGGCTAATAATTTTGATAGCTGTTAAAAAATTAAAAACTGCTTTTATTCTAGCCGAAATAAAACAAGTAAGAATTCCCCAGAAGAAAAAAATATTATCAGACATATGGTGAAAAGGTTCTTCCCCTGTTAAACATCATTTGGGAGATAATAAGAAAAGAAAAGAAAATTCAAAGGGGGCTAATAATTCTGATTCAACTGTACATACTGTATGTATACGTTACATGTTCCCCAACTTTTCTTATGTTTTTTTATGAAGCTTTCTTAAAGGGTTAGTTCAACTACAACTTTTACCTCCCTGTTGTTTAAAACCTTTAAAGGTAAAATTATACTTTCACCTGGCTATGAAACGCAAACCTCCGCTGTCTGCACACAAATACAAGTAATGGAAGCTTATATACTTGACTTTGTTACTGCTGTACTGTTATTTAACAACAGAGGGCATAACTGTTGCTACAAATAATGCTGTAACAATTTGTAACAATGTTGTTCCAAACTAACTTAGGAGTAACTTTCATAAGGTGAAGAAGTAATCAGTGCAAGGAGTTGCCTAAACAAATTAGTTTTATACATGTATACAGTTGAAGTCAGAATTATTAGCCTTTCTGAATTATTAGCCCTTCTGTATGTTTTTCCCTAACTAATCTTTAATGAAAAGAAGATAGTTTCAACACATTTCTACAAATAATAGTTTTCATAACTTATTTCTAATGTAGTATTTGTTTTGTCTTTGCCATGATTCCAGTGCATAATATTTTACTAAATATTTTTCTAGATATTAGTATTCAGCGTAAAACATATGCTGGAATATTTGGCAGTACATTTTGCTGTGGTGACTTCTGATAAATAAGGGACTAAGCCGACTGAAAATGAATGAATGAAATAATAACAAATTATGTTTAACAGAGCAAGGAGAGTTCACAGTATTTCCTTTTTTTCTTCTGGAGAAAGTCATTAAAATTGTTTAAAGGAATCATTTTGGCAGTTTTTTATATATCCATGTCAACTGCTTCCTTAATGCAAAATCTTTTATATGCTTTGGACAACCTGTGCACAAAAGATATACATTTTTCCTCAAAGCTTCTATAAAACAAGCTCAGATTTCTGTCACATGCACATTCATCCTCCAAGTTGTGCATCTTCAGATACTCAGCCACACGTGAAGTTACAAAAAAAGCTGTTAAAAATCAATTAAAATAAATGGTTTAAAATAAATCCATTGATGAGACACATCACCTTTACAAAATCAATGTGTGAAAAAGCAGGACTGTTCATTGTGTCATGACACATGATTCATTTTTTAAAGCCCTTTTGAATAGTGTGCTGTATTTTTCTCTTTGTTTCCCTCAGACGTTGTTGGAGACCACCACAAATCTGTTGAACTCAGATCTTCACTGGTCTCTCTCACACTTGCGCAAGGCAGTCAGTAAAGGTCTTCATCCAAGACAGGACCACTGCAACATCTGCTTACAGCAGTACAAAAGACGACAGGAGAGCGAGGAGGAAATCGTTATCTTCAGGTACATGCACGTATATAGAGCTAATATTGTGCTGCACCTGCCTGTGTTATTATTATATCACAGATAACCACAGGGAAACTTCTCTTTTAAAATGCTTCTTTTTTTTGTTGTTGTTGGCAACAGTTTTTTAAAGCAGCCTCATTGCACACTTTGGAAGGTTTTTTCCCTTATTTTGAGTTTTTAATGTACTTTAAAAGTGACTCAAACTGCTTTTACTACTAAAAGAACAAAATTGCTCTTTGACACTCAAATCACTGGTACTATGGACTGTGTGTATAGCTAGATATTTTTGCTTAACAATATCATATTATTCGAATATTTTCAGTATATATATATATATATATACGATGCAGATTACTTCCTATTAGTAAGAATATGTATTATTGTCAGTCACTTTAAACATTTGAAATAGTCTGAACATTAACTGTGCTTGCAGATAAAAAAAAAAAAGTTTTAGTTAAAATGTGCTTTTAAAAGTTCATAAAAAAATGGCGCTGTTCTTAAAAAGTAAAAAGAAAACTGTTTTACTTAAATCTAAAGTATTTATAGTAGCCTATTCATCAAAAGCTGGAAATGCTGCTTGGACCTTATAAATATAGGCTATATGTCATATTCATACACTTTCAGACAAATCTTGAAATAAATGTTAAATGTACATGACAGGGTTCATACAGGCACAGCCTAATGAAAATCAATTCCAGCACCTATTTTTTTTTTTCAAGACTGACATGCTATGTATTGAAGACCTGAAATGTATTCTCAGCAACCCATTAAACACTGCATAGGAATAGATACAAATAAAAACCATTAATAATAATATTTATTAATCATATATTAATAATATAATAAACCTGCACTAAGTGCTTGTGAAATCTTTTTTGTACTCAAGTAAAAATACTATTACACTGCTAAAATAACAAAAATTTTAGTAAATAATACTAATATTAGGTAAAAGTACAAATTACTCTTTTAAAAAGTACTAGTTGGTTACTTTTGAAAAAAAAATCTGATTTTCATTATGAAATCACTTTTTTTAAGTGTAAACCTAATTTAATGGTTTGATTACTTACATCCCAAAGCTACATGTATAATTTGCACTAACAAAGGAATTATAGTAAATTTTTCCTTTCATGACAATTAATCTTTTTCAATAGCACTGGTAAAACTACCAAATAATCTTTAAGGCCATAGAGACACTTTTTGCCCATTTTTAAAAATATATATTTTTAAGCTTTGAAAGGTTAAATTAAAGTATATGGTAAAAAGATTTAAATTTAGCCTTTTATTTACATATTTTACACTATTTTCTTTACAATATGGCAAATTTGTTTCTTAAATAGCGGTACATCACATGTAGATTTTATTTTACACTTGATCTTAATCTAAAATAGAAACGTAAAAAAATACAAGTACACTGTCAGTAAACAAATAAAACAAATGACTTTATTTTACTTGAGGTATTTGAAATATGACGACACTACATTTATCAAAGCAGTGCTTTAAGAGCCTTATTGTAAATTGTGATAAATAAACAATAAGTAGGCTAACAATGGATTGCTTTGACCTGTAATGCTTTAGGACAGATCAGAATACAGCTAAATGTATAAATCACACAAATACCTCACCCAGAAACATTTCCAGCATAATTATTTTGTCGTAAAGAAATAAAAAAATGTTCCACCTTTGCTAAAAGTAAGTTTCACTTCACAACACAGCCAAATAAGAAGACCATTAGCATTGTCATCGATCATGTATCAATCTATTTCTAAATATTTGATAACTTTGAATACTTTTGATTAAATTTAGTTAAGGAGCAAAGAGAAATAATGTATACTTTAATAGTGGAGAGATCTCGATTGTATTCAATCTGAGCACACAGGCGATCATGAGAGGACCTGCAGTTCATTTGAAAAAAGCCTATTTAAGAGCATATCTGTTTTAGCGATTTGCGTACATGAATGCGCTCTCGTGTTAAAATAAAGCACTCGCCGCATTTCCAGAAATGAGTAATTGCGCAATACCTTCATTCCCGCGCGGCCATTCAGAATGTATTTAGAGGAGTGACAGGTCAGAGGCGAGTCGACTCGCTGTCGGAGAGCGAAACGTGTATGAACATCAAATAGGCAGGAAATATGTCCGCGGTTTAATTACTCTGCTAGACATCTCTGTAGTGAAAACATCCGAGAAGCATTATTCCAACAAAACATTTGTTTTTAAGTTGTTTTTTCTGTCTCTGCAACACAGAAAGCCTTTGTCCCGCCCTTACGTTTCACGCAACTAGACAAGGTCGACTGTGATTGGCCACTTTTCATGTCAGTCAAATCACGCTTCAGAATCAATTCTTAAACTTTGGAAACTGATTTTCAGCAGCTTATGACACAATGCACTAAAATAAACATTCTAAGCACAGCGTTGTGATCGTACGCTTCACAAAACAGCCAATGCTGATCACATCAATGTTATATTACGCATTAAAGGATTAAAAGTGTTAATTGTTTCTTTCATTATTCAGCGATTCCTCCGCGTACCACTAGGAGGAAGCCCGCGTACCACTAGTGGTACGCGTACCACAGTTTGAGAACCACTGCTTTAGACCATGTGATATTTATTTATAACAATTCTTTGCTTTTCAGTCAATATGGGGTGCTGTGTGTACATTAATGAGAAAAAAAAAATTACTGAAATTATTTTAGCGAATGGCTGCAATATAACAAAGAGCGAAAAACTTTGGGGGCTCGAAATACTTTCCATACCCATTGTATGTACTGCAGTACACATAATCTGCACACAGCAATAAGTTAGTTTCTCTAAGATATAAAATAAGACATATTTCTTTTCTTGTTTTTCATGTTTTTATGTGGTTAACACAAACCATTTAATTTACATTATATGTGTTTTATAACATACTGGATTACATACTTTACGAAATATTGTATTGTATTATTGTGTAATATAGTTCTAGAAGTTATTTTTCACACACACACACAATAAAAATGTAACATAAATAATATCTGTAGTTTTGTACTTCTTGCAAACATATTTTTTAGGGATTCCAAAAAACTCCCACTCTGTTGATCTCATTTGCTTTCAGGTGTGGGTAGAGGAGCCTTGTATCTCCTCTGACATGGTGTTGTGAAGCGTTAGTTGCTACTCAATGTCTTTACTTTTTCTATAACAATCGTGCCAACCTTTTTTAAGCACCACAACTAGCTGTCAACCAGATCGTAGATGTATAATAATATTGTTGCTAACTATATACATACATAGTTTTGCCCATAATATAAACAAAACAAGCTAGATTGCTTGTTAAACAGTGTCCCATCAAAAGTCATTGTAAAGAAAATGCTTATGACTTTTGCATTTATGCATTTGCATTTTATCAGTTTCACCCAAAACTGAAAATTCCATCATCAATTACTGACCATTTACCTATCACAAATCGGAATGAGCTTAGTTATATTGTTGAACACAAAATAACCATTGGCTTCTTACTATGGATGTTAATGGTTATTGGTTTCTAGCTTTCTTCAAAATATCTTTGTACTGTATGTTTTCAACAAAAGAAAGAAACTCATAAAAGTTTGGAAATTGTGAGTAAGTTTCCATTTTATGCTGAACTATGCCTTTAAGATCATAAATATATTTTTGTCCTTCTGTAGTATACATTTTTTATAAGGTGTATATAACAGTTATATAATGTTGTCATTATACATTAAACTACTTAAGTGATCTGACGTGATTCTCAAAAAACTTGCCATCTATGCACATAAATTTGTTTTTCTTCATTTTGAGATGTAATCTAAATGCAATATACAGTTAGGTCCATAAATATTTGGACATCAACACAATTCTAACATTTTTGGCTCTGTGCATCAACATAATAGATTTGAAATGAAACAAACAAGATGTGTTTTAACTGAATTTTGTGCTATTTTGCATTCTGTGCTATTTTGAGGGTATTTACATCCAAATCAGGTGAACGGTGTAGGTACAACAGTTTGCATATGCGACTCCCACTTGTTAAGGGTCCAAATGTAATTGGACAAATGGCTTCAAAGCAGTTCCATGGCCAGGTGTGTGTTATTCCCTCATTATCTCAATTACAGTGAGCAGATAAAGGTGTCCAGAGTTCATTTCGCGTGTGCTATTTGCATTTGGAATCTATTACTGTCAACTCTCAAGATGAGATTCAAAGAGCTGTCACTATCAGTCAAGCAAGACATCCTTAGGCTGAAAAAACAAAACAAACCCATGAGAGAGATAGCAAAAACATTAGGTGTGGCCAAAACAACTGTTTGGAACATTCTTAAAAAGAAAGAACGAACCAGTGAGCTCAGCAACACCAAAAGACCCGAAAGACCATGGAAAACAACTGTCGTTGAAGACTAAAGAATTCTTTCCCTGGTGAAGAAAACACCCTTTACAACAGTTTGCCAGATCAAGAACATTTGGTAGGTGTGTATGTGTGTCAGAGTTAACAGTCAAGAGAAGACTACACCAGAGTGAATACAGAGAGTGTATACAGAGGGTTCACCACAAGATGTAAACCATTGGTGAGCCTCAAAAACAGTAAGGCCAGATTAAAGTTCTAAAAAAGCCTTCATTGTTCTGGAACAACATCCTAAGGACAAATGAGATCAAGATAAACTTGTACCAGAGTGATGGGAAGAGAAGAGTATGAAGAATAAAAGGAACTGCTCATGATCCTAAGTAGTGAAGCATAGTGGTAGTAGTGACATGGCGTGGGCATGTATGGCTGTCAATGGAACTGGATCTTTCGGCAGGATAAATTCTGTGGTGTTTTAGGCAATATTTTCTGCTCATATTAAGCCAAATGCTTTCAAACTCATTGGAGGACACTTCACATTGCAGATGGAGAATGACTCAAAGCACACTGCAAAAGCAACCAAAGAGTTTTTAAAGAAAAAGTGGAATGTTATGCAAAGTCAATCACCTGATCTGAATCCAATTGAGCATGCATTTCACGTGCTGAAGACAAAACTGAAGGGGAAATGCCCCAAGAACAAGCAGAAACTGGAGACAGTTGCAATAAAGGCCTGGCAGAGCACCACCAGGAATGAAACCCAGCATTTGGTGATGTCAATGCGTTCCAGACTTCTGGCTCTAAAGAATTTGCACCCAAATATTAAAAAGTGAAAGTTTGATTTATGATTATTATTCTGTTCAATTACTTTTGGTCCCTTAACAAGTGGAAAGCACATATGCAAACTGTTATAACTCCTACATCATTCACCGGATTTTGATGTAAATACCCTAAAATTTAAGCTGACAATCTAAAGTTAAAGCACATCTTGTTCGTTTCATTTCGTTTCGTTCGTTTCATCAAATCTAATCTGGTGTAAAGAGCCAAAAATATTAAAATTGTGTTGATGTCTAAAAATGTATGGACCTAACCATATATGGCTTGAAACTAATAAAAACTTGACTGGTCTTCTGATCTCTGCACCAGCTTTGACGTCATTATACTAAAAATCTGTGTATTCAGTGGTGATGCATTATTTCTGTTGCATAACCTTGTCAAGTCCCTGAACTCTTTTTTTTTTTTTTTTGGTATGTGTAGCTGTGGACACCTGTACCATTGCCAGTGTCTGCAGCGTAAAGAGACAGGTGTTTTGAGTGAGAGGCAGTACCCATGGAGCTGCTACAAATGCACATCCAATCAGGGCTCACGGCCAGCGGACAGAGCCAGCGCTGAAAGCTCACGATCACGCTCTGCTTCTCTGGCACAGGTCAGTCAGACATACTTCGCAATCATGTGTTCATCAAAATACACCATTTCTATTTTACTCAACATCTTGTCTTTCTAAACAATGTCAGGTTCTTAGGAAATAATTGTTTCTAAGAATCATCATAATGTATGCAAGTTCAAACTTCCCAAATCAAGCCTCAATATGAACTAAAACACAGAGTGACATAGTCCATACAACTTTGGTCCTAAATTCGATGTATAAATACTTAAGACATCATCATGATTTTATTTATTTGTATGAGACAGTACTAAAAAAAACAGTATTTGCAGTATTTAATTAGCCAGTGTCAGGATGTGGATGTACTGGGTGTTTACAAATAGATTACATCAAAACGAACATGAGTAATATTGACAAACTATACATCGGTCTAAATCTACAGCCCTTAAGCAGCCATTGTTGCTAGTTGTTTTTCAATGGGAAGCTTATTAAGAATATATTTGCTAAATTTGTCTAAGTTGTACAGAAAACTCTTATTAGATATAAAGTACATATAATCGTAATAACAACACACACACACACACACAGATGCAAGATGATAACATAGCTTACAAGTAAAATGAGTCCACAAACTAAATGAAAAGTCAAAGTTATTGTTACTATAATCTAAACAAAGCAGTCGAGTGTTTTGGCGTTCTGCATATGCATATCTGTGAGTCACTTTTAGCCAGCTACTTTAAGCCAATCTTCCTAAAAGTGCACCAGTCATATTGACTACTTATTATTTTGTTTTGTTCTTTTCAATTCAAATATTCATGATTTTTCAATTTTTTACAATGTCAATTGTGTCAAAGCAGAATACACTATATATATTTATAAATTAGCAGTTTTCTGTATTTTGTCATGCACCCCTTTTCATCTATGCTTTTGAATTGTTTTATGGAACCTTGATCTTACCTCTAATAACTTTTAACCTTTTTTTATAACCTTTTTTAACCTTTTACATTTTTAATAGTTTAAATTGATATATTGGCTGGGTTGGTGTTGTATATATTATGCTACAAAAGCCTTGTAATATGCTGCTAGTACATTTACTGTTATTTTGCATGCTTATTTCTCACACCACACAGAAATGCATGCATCTAAACGTGAACTTTTTATGCACAAACACACCTTATGACAAAAACTCTCAACATAATAAAAAGGTGGTCTTTGCTACTTCAGCACTGCGCATGACAAATTGCAGCACTGCATGTAAAGAGACGCGCATTCTCAGTGGCCATGTCTGTATAAATAATTTATTGTACATTATATTATTTCAAACTACTTAAATGCCAATCAAAGTCACTTTGTTAAACTGTAGAATTAGGTTATCAAAATCAAAAGTCGGCAGAGCAGAATTAACATCCCAAAATACAATTCACAGCCGTAAATAAACAGAAAACACTTGTGAATCACGAAATACAAAAACTGTTAATTAAGAGGTATTTTTTACAGTGTAGGTGAAGAAAACAGAATAAAAATCCACAACAATAGGTGCCATGTAAACACCTCAGTCAGAATAAAAGTGCTAACAAAGAATGCAATTTAATTTGGTTTTAATTTGTTTGCTTTTAATGTGATTGGTGACAAAAAGGTATTCCACACAGTTCAAAATTGTGCATACACAGCTGATCGTGATGGTAATAAATTTATAAATATGAATATATGGGTTATACAAATGCAAGATATAAAGTGAGCTGCATGACTTCTCGTTCGCTTTCTCTTGCTCTCAGCAAGACAAAGTATTAGGCTTTAAAGGGTCATGAAACCCCCCTCTTTCAGTTCAAGTCTACCTCAGATTTTTTTCAAAAAATGCTTCATGATGGGTGTGGAGTGCTGTGACCAAAGGGAGCATTGGGCTTGGCCAGCAGAGCAGGGGAAAAAGAGGAGAGTGAACTACTCTCAGTTGGTTTACAAAATCAGACAAAAAAAAAAAATCTGACACAAAATATTCAATTCAATTCAATTCAGCTTTATTTGTATAGCGCTTTTACAATGTAGATTGTGTCAAAGCAGCTTCACATAAATGGTCAAATGTAGTTCAGTTTTTAGTGTTTAAGTTCAGTTTAGTTCAGTTTAGCTCAGTTCAGTGTGATTTAATCATTACTGAGAGTTCAAACACTGAAGAGCAAATTCATCGATGCGTAGCTCTACCAATCCTGAACCATGCGAGCCAGTGGCGACAGCGGAGAGGGAAAAAAAAACTTCACCTGATGGGAGTGAAGAAAAAAAACCTTGAGAGAACCAGACTCAGTTCGGCACGACCATTTTAATTTCTCCGCTGGCCAAAATTCTTGTGCAGAGCTTCAGTCACCGCGGTGGGCTGGAAGATGGCCTCAGCGAAGACTCGTATGTCCCTGGAGTGTCGCTGGAATCAGTCTCATGTTCTCAGCTTCCCATGACTATCAGTGCAGCAGCAGCTCAGGATATGGCCTGTTCCCGGATATGGAAACCTTGGGATCATCTCGTCGCTGTTCTTGGATCCAATCAGCGACTCCGCATAATCTGAGGACCTCGGGATGAGTATCCCCCTGTGAAAATAGAGAATAAAGAGAATAATTTGCGTAGCTGCTGTTCATAGTGAATATAAGCAAGATGCAGAAGCCTGTGTGAAACCCGCTAGGTGATGCATTGAGTGTATGCTTTACTAAACAGATAGGTCTTTAATCTAGTTTTGAACTGGGAGAGTGTGTCTGAGCCTCGGACTTATCAGGAAGGCTATTCCAGAGTGTAGGAGCCATGAAAGAGAAGGCTCGACCTCCTTTACTCGATTTTGCTATTCTAGGTACTACCAGAAGCCCTGAGTTTTGAGATCTTAAAGAGCGAGTTGGATTGTAGCGAGACAGAAGGTTGGTTAGATAAACAGGAGCTAGATTATTTAGAGCTTTATAGGTGAGAAGCAATATTTTAAAGTCAATACGAAACTTAACAGGCAGCCAGTGTAAGGAGGATAAAATCATAAGAAGACCCATGATTTTATAGTTTAGAAAGTTAAAATGCAAAGAAAAAAAAACAGGAAGTGATTTAATGCTCTGCTACATATATGATAAGTTATTCATAATTTCATATAATATATACACATAACCACAATTTGTTATACCATTATAAAGAAAATAATGTTTATATAAACACTATAAATAAGGAGGACGTCTCCTGCTGAATCCTCGGGTCTGAATTCAGACTCAGTGGACAGCAGGTCTTTTGTCTTATCTATTTCAACCATTAACCCTGCCGGTAATCCGAATGATTTTAAACATCGGCGAACACGAGCACGGATATAGACGATAGAACTCAACTGATAAAAGACAAAGTCCACCATTCTGCAATTCTCCTACAGCTCTCCTGACAAAACTGCTTGCTACACACAAACAGATGTGCTGTATTAGTCCTGACAGCATCGTGGGGAAAACCATGCAACAAACACCATGCATCATGGAAACAAACATATACAACCCTTCATGAAAGGTTAAATACAGTGTGCTGTGCACATACGATCTCACAGCTTGGCAGGTCTATCATCAAAAGCACATGCTGTCATGAATAATTAAGAAGCAGGGTCTTCTCATAGGATAAGTAAACTCTGTTATGAATAATAATGAGAAACCATCACGTCATCTCAAGACTGGCAGACGTGCACTACGTCATTGATTTTGATTCTGCCCCAAAAATCACTGTTAAAATCTCAAAAAGTTCTTAAGGGTTTCTTGAACCTTTAAGACTCATTATTACCAGCAACAATCTTTTGTATATTTGGATATTTTTCTTCATTTTGAAGATGTATTGAATGAATATCAGGATTTTTATAAAGTGCAGAGGGATAGCTAGATAATGAAACAATGTTCATTTCGATTCTGAAACACTAACATGGGGTAATGACTTGTTGATGTGAGTGCAGTAATTTATACGACTTTTCTTTCTGTATAGTTTGCCTAAATGCAAACACCAAACATCCACTAATGCGTGAATGGCTGGCGATCGGTGACTGACTCAAAAGTTTAGTTTAGTTTAGTTTAACTTCCATTGCAGGTCACTCATTCCAGCACTTAATTTCAGCAATACAACCCACTCCCACCAGCCTGTTCTATAGTATTGACCAGGGTTGCCAAAACTCGGTCCTGGAGGGCCGGTGCATATTTTAGCTCCAACCCCAATTCAAACACACCTGAACTGGCTAATAAAGTTCTTCCTAAGTATACTCGAATCTTTCAGGCTGATGTGTTAATTGGAGCTAAACTACTTTATTCAGGACACTGGCCCTCCAGGACTGAGTTTAGACACCCCTGGTATAGACCTTCATCCACATGCTACTGCTTTTCTTATTGGGGTATTGAGATCCTCATGCAGCCACCTAAAACACCTAAAAGTGACACATGTAAACACCACATTAGAGTAGATAAAGTCTGATGTAAACACACCACCAAATCTTTAAGACTGAATGATTTTAAACAGAATGACGAAAAGGTAAACATGGCTACTATTTCAGATTGTGGAACATTAAAGCAAAGCGGGCAGGCATGAAAGTAGTAGTAAAATGTCTGTGTAGTTCTAGTTAAATACAAAAAGAGAGAGAGGGGTATTGTGATCCTCTTGCAGCCACCCAAAACTCAGATTTCCCTGCCCATCTTTTCCTTATAGTCTAATGTTACCCTCGTAAATAAAAGTGACACATGTAAACACTAAATTGGAGTAGATAAAGTCTCATGCAAACACACCATCAAATCTTTTAGGCAGAATGATTATAATCAGAATGACGAAAAGGTAAACATGGCCAATATTTCAGATTGTGGAACGCAGCAAAGCAGGCAGACAGGAGAGTAGTAGTAGAATGCTGTTGTAGTTCTAGTTAAATGAAAACTGATTGAGTTTGGTTTAGTATAAATGTCACTGTTGATGTCAAGTTAATTTTAGTTCATTTCAGCATAAAACAAATGTCCCTGTTAAAGGTCATTCCACTGAAAAGATATTTTTTATAAATTGTTCTACGGAGAAAGAAGGAAAAG